GGACGCCGGCAAGCCTCGCAGCATAGAATCCATAAGACTTCGGACAAACACCATCAGCTAGTCGATAGAGGAATGTTACACTCTCTTCGGTGGGATTAGCTTCATTCTCGTTTTCTACCATGCAAGCCTAAAAAGCAAAGGATCGACCAAATAAAATAAGGAAGAAATAGAACAGTTACCATGTGCGCTAGAGTGATGTTAGGATTGACTGAGGCTGATCTGCAGAGTGAGTGGTAGTGAGTTGAGAAAAACGAGCGACATCCAATGCGTCGTGATAAATCGGACAAAACAGCTGATGCAATAGCAGTACCATCAAAAGTGCTGTAAGAAATTAATTATCACAAAAAAAACATTGACTATGGTCTCAGTTATGAGTTCCGGTAAATGTTCTCACCTCGTACCTCTACCCAATTCATCTATAAGAACGAGTGAATGTTTGGTAGCATTTCGCAAAATTACTAACGTTTCTCTTAACTCTACGAAGAACGTCGACTGACCTACAAATAGGCAATGATTCCATTACTCGATGCGACATCGCTGTCACTTACCGCAAATAAGCCGATCATTCGCTCCAATTCTAGTGAAGATTCTATCTACTGGAGATAGACGCATTGAACGAGCGGGTACAAGTGACCCCTAAAATCAAAGTCTCCGCCGAATAAAAGCTAATGGAACACGGTGCCACTTTACCATATGCGCCAGAACTGTTAGTACGGCTACTTGTCTCATCAGCGTAGATTTTCCACCCATGTTAGGTCCCGTCAGTAGCACCGTCGGAGGGTGATCTCCACCCAAGTGCGAATCATTGGCTAAAGTCAATCAAAAGCGAATAATTCACTTGCACATATTATTGTCATATCTCACCTATATATGTACATGCAGAAGCACCATCGCTCGTGGGTAGCTTAACAGCAAGACTAGGATGATACCCCTCTTCGATTTCCAGAAAAGGCTGAAATTCATATGGTGACAGAGTGTTGGCAGAAATTATGAAGCGACTACCTTTTCAAAATTGATAACAAACTCCGGACGACAAGTAGGAAGCCCACAAGTCTGACAATAGCGTGCTAAGGAAAGTAGAACAT